CTGTGTTAGTTATCTATTGCTGTGTAACAAACTACCACCAAAACTTAGCAGCTGAAAAGAACACTGGATTATCTCGCAGAGCAAAGGACAGATGTAGCCAGATGGCCTTTCTCAGGGTCTCCCGTAGGATTTCAGTCAAGGTGTCTGTTGGGCTGGAGGATCTGCTTCCAAGGTGGCTCGCACACATGACTAGCAAATTAAAGCTGGCTGTTGCCAGAAGGCCTCAGTTCTTTGCTACGTGGGTCTCTCCAGAGGGCTCCTCATGATATGGCAGCTTGCTTTCCCCAGAGCAAATGATCTGACAGAAGGAGACACGAGCAGCTAATGTCTTCTATAACACAACCTCAGAAACAACATGCCATCACTCCTCTTATATTCTATTGGTCACACAGACCACCCCCTGGTATGTGGGTGGGGATTCCAAAAGGTTGTGAAAACCAGGAGTCAGGGGGGGTTATGGGGGGGCCATCCTGGGGGCTGGTGACCATAGCCTCAAGGAGAGCCTCCTGGTCCCAAACTCCACCCAAACCTCAGTGGGGGATAGGAGGTAGGTGCAAATTCACTTTTTGAAAATACAAAGGCATACATACAGCAGTAAATTCACCTGGTCCAGAGAACCGTGTTTCCTCATGTAGCATCACACCATCAGCCTGCACGGAAGGGCCCACGGAAACAGCTCCAGGGAAGTCACTGCTGTTTGTTTCACTGTTCAGTGTCCTCCCTCTGAGGACCCATCCTGGAGTTACCTCTCCCACTTGTTCTCTATTTTCTCCAATTCCTTCAACTTTTCATTTTATCCTTTTGCATATTTTGTACTTGTATAATTCCTCTCAAAGCTTTAGTGGATTGAGGTGGAGTATAAATACATTTAAAAAAAAAATACGAGTTTTTGTCTGAAGACTGATGACTTGCACACATGTGCCATCTAGTGGTAAGAGTGCTAACTGCCAGAATAGAAACCTCCCGGATTTTTCCTTATTTGTTTTTTCAGGGAAGCAGGAATGGGAGGGGTGAAAGAGGAGGGAGACCAGGACTTCTCTCAGTGCTTTGTCAGGGAGTTGAGACTGCTGGGGATTTAAGAGGTTCCAGGTAGGGCAAAGGAGCAGGTGATTCAATGGCTGGAATCCCACAAGATTTATTGGAATCCAAATAAGCCAAAAACTAGTGAAAACCTTGCAAATGAGAAAGGCACCAGTGGTGGAAGGGTTAAGTGAAAGGTGTTAGAAAAACTAAACCATGAAAATAGACCAGATTCAGGCAAATGATCACTTGAAAGGTACTTCATGTGGGTTGATTGCAGGTGTAACCAGCCATTTTTTAAGCATTCACATTAACAGTAGGAAGAAGCCTACAGTCTAATATTTTTGTTTTACTCATGAGAAAACTGGGCCCAAGAGGCACTGAGCACCTTGTCCAATAGAGCCTGTTAGGTCCAGGGTGACCCTGAGACTACTCCTCTTTCCCCAGAACCACACTGCCTCCAAGCATATATAGCAGATACGTATATGGGCTTTCATTTTGCACAGTTTCAAAATAAAAATCAGGGGGCGCCTGGGTGGCTCAGTCGTTAAAGCGTCTGCCTTCGGCTCGGGTCGTGATCCCAGGGTCCTGGGATCGAGCCCCGCATCGGGCTCCCTGCTCCGCGGGAAGCCTGCTTCTCTCTCTCCCACTCCCCCTGCTTGTGGTCCCTCTCTCTCTGTGTCTCTCTCTGTCAAATAAGTAAATAAAATCTTATAAAAACAAAACAAAACAAAATAAAAATCAGATTGTCACATAAAAATGCTGGATCCAACATGTTTCCAAGGAATTATTACTCACTGGTTTTCAGCTGCACCTTGGCACACTCCCCAAGAAGTCAAGATGGAGATGGTGATGAAACGCTGGTTTCATTCACCTTCCCTGGATGGCAGAAGCCCTTCGTCCACATGATAGGGAGGGATTCCTCCCTCCCAGTAGCTGAGGGAGACTAGCCTGGGGCAGAGAAGGGAAGTTCATTCGTCCAGGGTTAACCTGGCATCTGTTCTGGGCCAGGCTCTTGCAGGATGCTGGAGTGGCGAGATCAGCAATGTGCTGGCTATATCTGTCTGTACCCTGATGTGTGTTCTTAGAAACGGCGTGAGCCACAGCTAAGGTAGAAAGCTTGGTTCAGGAGCGCCCTTGAATATCTAGCCCAGGGGTCTGTAGTCTCAGACTGAGATGTCTTGGACACAGCCTGGAGTTCTATAGGGCAGAACTCCATAGGATAGCAAATCCTGGATTTTCTACTTCTGAGTCTTACCAGTTCTTCTAGGCCCTGTAAATACTGATATAAGCAGGGAGTGATATGAGTCACTGGTTTCTGGAAGGGGTAGAGCCCCAATAGAAAGGCTGTTCCAGATCTGATATCCTTGGGTACAAATGACCCACCTGAGATAGAAGACTCTTGGAGTTCAGTTCCTTAAACTTCTCAGGTTCCTGTGCTGGTGAAAGGTGCCAGAATAGGAGCAAAAGGAGCAGAGGGAGTATTAAGAGCCTCAAGTTTTGAAGTCAGAAAGATCTAAGTTCCTATCCCAGGTTCCTCATTACCAGTTGGGTGATCTCTGGGTAAGCCTTTGGGCACCAGCTTTCTCGACTGCAAAAAGAATCAAGACCCACAATTGTTATGAGGATTAAATGAGACAGTGGATAAGACAGTGCCTGGCCATGATAAGTGCAGATTTCTTACTCATCTCTTCTCCCCCTTTTGGAGGTTACTCTCTGCTGTGGACAAGAGCCACACATCACCTTCCCATCAGGTATCAGGTGGAGGATAGTGATGGCTACCTGTTCCACTCAGTCTCTCAGTGGAAATTTGTTATGAAAATACCAACTGCCTGGCCTCACGTTCTGCATCATACAGAGAAAGAAAACATGTTCCTGAGAGCAGCAGCTTACTATCTTGTGGGAGAGATTAGTAGGCAAACTAATAATTATATAGCTAGGGTGGAGCATGCACAGGAGGAAGAGCACAGAGGAAGCGATACTGTGACCAAGACAGGAAGGGTGAATCGAAGTCAGCCTGCTCAGCAAGCACATGGAATAACGCATACCAAGCAGAGGCAAAAAAGGAGACTGGAAAGCAAGGTATATCCAATGATGAGGGTCCTTGAGCACTGGGCCCAAGGAGTTTGACTTGCAGGGAACACAAAGCCTCTAAAAAGGAGTAAAATCATATTTGAGTTTTGAAAATTTTTCTATATTGCCAGTGTGTGATGGCTTCAAAGAGGCAAGACTGGAGGAAGGGAGGCCAGCCTCAATTTGCTCTACAGCTCCCTACCCCATGTGCTCCAGTCACAAAAGGCTTCTTCTCTCGCTCCTTTTTTTTTTTTTAAGATTTTATTTTTATTACTTATTTGAGAGAGAGAGCACGAGTGTGAGGAGGGGGAAGGGAAGGATGGAGGGGCAGAAAGAGGGAGAAGCAGACTCCCTGCTGAGCGGGGTGCCCAATCCCAGGCCCCTGGGATCATGACCTGAGCTGAAGGCAGCCGCTTAACGGACTGAGCCATCCAGGCGCCCCTCTCAGTTCCAGAACAAAACACTAAGTTCTTTCCCAGGGTCTTTGCACTCGCTGTTCCCTCTGCCTAGATTACTCTGTTCTTGGCTGTCACAGAGCTTCCTTTTTCTCAGCCTCCGGGTCTCAGATCAGGCATTTCTTCCTTTCCCCAATCTCCCAATCTAACTTACGGCTCCCTCCATCATTCTCTCTCGTAGCATCCTGTTTCTTTTCTCTACGTACCACAATTTGAAATTTTACTCTTATTTGTGTTCTGTAGTCAGTCTGTCCTCCCCGTTAGACGGTAAACTCCGTGAGGGTGGGGCCGCGTCTGCCCCACTCAACACCGTGTCCCCAGCACCCGGCACAACGTCTGGCACTTAGCACACTCTCAGTAAATACGGGCGGGATGAGACCGTTAGAATGGCCGGCATGATCATGACTTAACCTAAGGCAGTAGCAGCAAAACTGAGCAAAGGGGATTACCACCACCCGAAGTGGACAGAATTCGTTCCAACCGCGCTGAGCTGACTACACGACTAGCTGTATAGCCCAGTCAACAACCCTTTACCCACCACACCCTCAGTCTTCCCTTCAGTAAAGTTAAGACCGTCACCCCCGCAGCTGGGCAGAACGAATGTCCTCCGAGGCAGAAACAACAAGGCTTGGGCTAGGGCCGACGGTCGTGGTGGCCCAAAAGAGGCCAGCCGGGAGTCGAGAACACCGGTACGAACAGCTGCTGACGCTCCCGGGGGGCGGAAGTCAGTGCCCGATGGAAGTCCAAACATAAAATGGATCCCCCGTATGCGCAGCGCCATGGTTCAGTGTACCCTCATAAAGCGTCCGGTGAGCAACAGAGGATGGGAGTAATTTAGGGCCGCCATCATTTGTTTCCCCCGTTTCTCAGCAGATCCCTCTAAAAAGTACTTCATGGAAATCTAAGCTTGGAGAATTCTCAGGGCTATAGGGTAGAAGGTTATCCCAGCATGCGATAATCAGGAGGTAGATGGGCAGATGTTCGCACGCTGCGCCACCTGGTGGAGAGGGAAGAGCCACTGTGGCAGGCTCGTCCTGACCCTCCTCCTCCCTCTGGTTCCCGCCTCATTAGCGACCCCAGGGAGCGAGCGGGGAGAGCCACAAGCCCCAGAGACCTACATGTTACTACATTTCCCAGAGGTCTGTGCGCAAAAGGAGGGGGCCGAGCCCCAGCTCTCCTCCCTGCCTCCAGTGTGCGGGCTGTTTTAATCCAGAAGGTTTCGCCCCCCGGACCCCTTCTTCCGGGCCTCTCAAAGCCCGGTAGAGGCTGGGAAAACCGGGCACGGCCCTCATCTAACAAGTTAGGAGGAGCTAAGCGCCGCGGGGCCTCCTGGGAAATGTAGTGTCCGAAAAGACAGGGAAAACTGGGAGAGCTTGTGAGCTTTTGTAGCCAATTAGAGCCGGGCTCGGGCTTGTCACGTGACCTTTGCGGTCAGCCGGTCCGTGGCTAGGAGGGATTCCGAGCTGTGGGCAGCGGCTCCTGCCAGCGCCTGGTCTCGACTTCTGGGTTTCTCAGTCCCTGAGCTGTCCCTGTTGGCCCGACGCTGCGCCGCCCGCATGTTTGCATATACTTAAACTTGTCCTGGCGTTCCCTGACCTTGTGTCAACTTGCAGGCTGTGTAGGACGTCACCCTGATCTTCTACCCTGGCTTCTCCAGCAGCCAAACCGAACCACTCCAGTTGCTTCAGATCTTTCGTGAATAAGCCATTAATCGTTATTGGAACGCCTCATCTTTGGGAACCTTTTCCACTACCTGTTCTCACTCTACCACCTTGTCCTCACCCGTGACCGTGTCGCTTCAGAAACATGATGTAGGGAGACTACATCCCCTGACCTCTCAGGTTGGTGACACTATAATCAAGGTCTCCGACTTCAGTTAAACCCTAAACTCAGTGGGTTGGGACAGCACTGAGGGGAGGAGGCTTTTAAAAAGCTGCCAAGACCTCTGGTAGGAGTACAAGGCTTTGGAAGGGCTATCTTTGTTGCCTTCCACCTCATGTTCCTCCTTCTAAAAGAGGGAGAAAGGGGTGCCTGGCTGGCTCAGTCCGTGGAGCTTGTGACACTTGAGCTCGGGGTCCTGAGTTCAAGTCCCACCCTGGGTGTAGAGATAAACAAATGAACTTTAGAAAAAAATTAAGAGCGCATGAGAATGAAATGCAAAGCAAAGCTAAATATTAGTTATGAAAATGCTAGAATGGCACTTTCTAGCCATTCTAGAAGTGGAAGTGGAAGATACTATACTCAAACGGAAGTGCTAAGTAACATATAGTGAACGAAATGAGCAAAGATGCTAAACTGGTATGTTAATAGAGTTAAATGAACCCAGAGAGCAAATAATAAAGTCCTTTAAAAAGCATTATGAAAGGAAAAGGATAGGGTGTTTCCGAGGCAAAAGACAGGTATATGCAATGCTTTGTTAGCCTTCCAGAAAGATTAAAAGATTATACCAAAGAAATTCCCTTGGGAAGTGGCAGGTGTAAGAGAACCCTAGAAATGAGTAATCTGGCTTCAAAAAAAGTAATTTTTTTTTAAAGATTTTATTTATTTATTTGACAGAGAAAGGCACAGCGAGAGAGGGAACACAAACGGGGAGTGGGAGAGGGAGAAGCAGACTCCCTGCCGAGCAGGGAGCCCGATGCGGGACTCGATCCCGGGATCCGGGGATCATGACTTGAGCCGAAGGCAGTTGCTTAACCAACTGAGCCACCCAGGCGCCCCCAAAAAAGTAATTTTTAAGAAGGAGTCTTTTCTTGAGGGGAAAAGGAGATCTAAAACAGGTATTTTTGGACATTTCAGAGGCCCCCACTGTGCTGCACCTTACAGACAAAATCCCGTGGAGACTGGGTTCCTGCTGTCACACAGGCCATTACGCAGATTTTGGATGCCAAGGTGGAAGCCACACACAGCCCGAAACTTCTCAGGAAGTGTGCTGCCAAGCACTGGTGAGGAGATTTGGTTTGGTGTTGTTCTCTTACGATGATAATGTTTTATTAATGTTTATCTTTCATTCCTCTGTAGTATAAGGTCTATTTGTCATGCAGAAACTCCAGGAACTGCCTTAAACCCTATCTGTGTGTTTTCACACACCGTGTGATATTTGATATAAGAAAAGCAGCACATTGGTGAGTTAACAATTAACTAGAAAAGATAGAACTTTGAAAGCAATCCAGTTTGTTACACTTCTGCATGTCAGCCTCCTCACCTAATTCTAAATTTAAAGACTTACTGTTTACTAACAGGAATTTACAACTATATTTGTATGGCTCTCTGGGGAAAATGCATGCGGAGAATAGCCATATCTTTATATGCAAGGCACATATCCAGAACCAAACAAAACAATTCTGGACTCCCACACTGAACATTAATATTTTACAAGTAGAGCACAAGATCCCCAATGAACAAGAAAAGCTACGCATTTATAGAAAAAGAAACCATGTAGATACCAATTTTCATTAAGGCAGAGCAATGGATCTTAAATTATTTGTGCAGGACCAGTTGTTTGTTTTCAATTCATTGCCCTCCAATACTTCTGTAAAATAAGAGTTCATTTCTAGAAAAAAATGAAATTATAGTGAAATATAATCCCATTTTTAATTATTAGATTTAACATACATAAAATCTCTAAAACTGCTATAAAAGCAGGGCACCTGGGTAGCTCAGTCAGTTGAGTATCTGACTCCTGATCTCAGCTCAGGTCTTAATCTCAGTGTCGTGAGTTCAAGCCCCACATTGGGCTCCACACTGGGCATAGAGCCTACTTAAAAAAATAAGATTAAAAAATAAAGGTAAAACAAAATAAAATTGCTGTAATAGCTCCCAAACATTTAGGCTCTATTCTATATTTAGTTCATGGCAGACTAGATCACCAACCCACACTTGTCTAAGGACCATATTTGAACAGCGCTGAGATAAAGCATCTACAAATGAAGATTTTACAGAAACATATCACATATTACTTCCTGACTCAAACTTTTATTATTTTTATAATGTCAACTTTTAAAAAAGATTTTATTTATTTATTTGACAGAGAGAGCGAGCACAAACAGAGGGAGAAGCAGGCAGAGGGAGAGGGAGGAGCAGGCTCCCCGCCGAGCAGGGAGCCCAACGCGGGGCTCGATCCCAGCACCCTGGATCATGACCCGAGCCAAAGGCAGCCGCTTAACGACTGAGCCACCCAGGCACCCCTATAATGTCAACTTTTATTGAACTTTTATTGTGTATACTTTAAAAGGTCAACCAGGAGTGCAAGGTTTAAAAAAAACAGTCTTCTGTACCTTCCTTCACCTCCCTCTCCCAATTCCTGTTCCCTCTCTGTCCATGTTTCTGAACAATAAACATACAGTGCTACTTAAGTGACATATTTCATTCTAAGATATAAATGATAGTGAATAGCCATCACCCACCTTAAGAAATAAAGCATTATATTTATAGTTGAAGCTCTGTGTTACCCTCCCTGATTTCATTCCCCCCTGCCAAAGCAAAACCATGCATGGTTTTTATTAGTGTTTATTATTCCCATACATTTCTTTTTATACTTTTATTAGATATATCTATATTCCCAGATACATTGTCTTTTCATGTTTTTAAGTTTTATAAAAATGGCACAACACTTCCTAAAACTTTTTTTCTTAAGATTATGTTTTTGAAAATCGTTCACAATAACACGCATAGCTGTGCTTCATTAATTTCCTCTGATGTACATTGGCTCATTATTTGAATATACCTAAATTTATTTACTCATTCTCTTGTTGATAGAAATTTAGATTGTTTCCCGTTTTTATTATTACAATGTTGCAATGAACGTTCTTATAAATGTCTCCTCAAACACAAGTGTGGGAACCTAGGATATATACCCATGTCATCCTATGTGATTCATATACCAGTGAGTGAAATCCTGGGTCGAAGGGCATATGTGTCTTTATGCATCTTCACCTTTAAATATTGTCTACTTGGTCTCTGAAGTGCTGTACCAATTCACACTTACTTCAGCAGGGTAGGAGAGTTCCCATTTCTCCATATGACCACCAACATTTGAAGCTGTCAGACTTTAATTTCCCAATCTGATGGATTTGAAATGGTACCTCGTTATGATTTTGTTTGCATTTTTCTGATTAACAATGAGGTTGAGCATCTTTTCATGCATATATTAGCCATTCTGGTGTCTTATTCTGTGACTTACCTGTTTATTTTTTACTCATTTTTCTATTGAGTTTTTTAAATTATTGACTTGTTAGTTATTTATATATTCTGGATTTGAATCCTTTGTCAATTATGTATTTTTGCAAATGTTTCCCCCAGTCTGCAGTTTGTCTTTTCACCTTTTTAATGATGTCTTTTGATACTCAGGCATTTTTAATTTTAATGATGTTGACTTTATCAGCTTTTTTCTATATAGGTTGTGCTTTTTTTTTTTAAGATTTTATTTATTTATTTGACAGAGTGAGACAGCGAGAGAGGGAACACAAGCAGGGGGAGTGGGAAAGGGAGAAGCAGGCTCTCCGCCGAGCAGGGTGCCCCATACGGGGCTCTATCCCAGGACCCTGGGATCACGACCCAAGCCAAAGGCAGAGACCCAACCAACTGAGCCACCCAGGGGTCCCAAGAGTTCCAATTTTATTCTTTTCTCTATGGATAACTAATTACTCATCACCATTTTTTTAACTGTCTTTTCTCCACTGATCTGCAAAGCCACTCTGTCATTTATATCTGCTGTCCATCGATGGCTGTGTTTCTGGGCTCTATTCTGTTCCAGTGGTCTCATCTCTGCCCCAGTTCCAATGCCACAGTCTTAACGACCACACGTTATAAGTCTTGTGTGCTATGGTGAGTCTGCCATCCTCTGTTGCTTTTTCATGTGTGTTTTACCTGTTATTTGTACCCTTCCATTCCCATTTTAGAATCAGCTTATCCCATTTCCAAAGAAACATGTCCAACATTTCTACTGGAATTCAGTAAAATCCACATGTTCCTATGGAGAATTGACCTCTTTATCATATTAACTTTTTCTGCCCATGTTCATAATATGTTTTCCTGTTTATTTAATTCATCTTTAAGATATTTCTATCATTTTTTATAATTTTCTTCATAAGGTTTTAAACACCTTTTGTAGATTTATTGCAAAGTATTTTATAATTTTTTATTAGAATCCTTTTAAATTTTATTTTCTATGGAATTCAATTTTTTCTAGATGTGTTGAGGTATAATTTCTTTTTTAATGTTGTAAATGACATCTTTTTAAAATTATATTTTCCAACTCTTTACATCTAAACCATAGTAAAACAATAGAACTGCCTTGCTAGACTCTCATATTTATTCTAATAATCTGTAAATTATCTTGGCTTTTTCTATGTAAACAATCATATAACCTGTGAATGGTTATATGGAAGTGATATGCAATAGACTGAATAGTGAGCCCCCAAAGCTGTCCACATCCCAACCCCCAAAACCTGTGAACATACTACCTTACATGACAAAATGGCCTTTGTAAATGTGACTAAATTAAGGGTCTTGAGATGGGAGAGTTGCTTGGCAGAAGGAAAGTGAAGGCTATGTGATGACAATAGTGGAGAGAGACCATGTCATGGAGGAAACAAATTTTGCAGTGACACACTTTGAGGATGGAGGAAGAGGCCCCTGGCCAAAAAATGTGGACAGTGCCTAGAAGCTGAAGAAAACAAGGAAACAGATTCTCTAGAGCCTTCAGGGGGAACACTGCCCTGCTGACACCTTGATTTTAACTCCCTAAGACTAATTTCAGACTTCCAGACTGCAGGAGAATAAATTTGTGTTGTTTTTAAGCCTCTATGTTTGTGGCGATTTGTTATGGCAGCAACAGAGAAACTAATACAGGTGTGTGGACGATTAACTTTATGAGACCTACCTGGTTTGAACTCATTCTAATTCTGTTCTCTCATTTGCGAGTTTGGTGGTTTTAGACCTGTAAATTGGAATCTTGGTTCTTCAGAGCAAGATTGGAGCTATTTTCTCCGTTTACAATCTTTATATCATTTATTTCTTTGTCTTTTTTTTCCCCTTTTCTGCCTGGTCAGATTCCCCAGATACAATGTTGAACAGAAAGGTGTTAGAGTACCCCCTTGTCATTTTCCTAATTTTAAATAATATATTTTTTAAAGATTTATTTGAGAAAGAGAGAGAGCACAAGTAGGGCGAGGGACAGAGGGAGAGGGACAAGCAGACTCCCCACTGAGTGGGGAAGCCCACGTGGGGCTCGATCCCAGGATCCTGGGATCATGACCTGAGCTGAAGGCAGACGCTTAACCGACTGAGCCACCCAGGCGCCTGTAAATAATATATTTTTTAAAGTAATCTCTACACCCTACGTGGGGCTCAAACTCACCACCCTGAGATCAAGAATCACATGCTCCACTGACCATGCCAGCCAGGTGCCCCTCATCGTGCTGATTTTAAAGGGAATGTTTCTAATACTTCACCATTTAAGTATTCTATTTGGGAAAAAAAAAGTATTGCTGTAAAATATTGGTAGAGAGTGTCATCAAATTAAAGAAATGTCCTTCTCCCCATTGGCTAAGATTACTATTTTTTAAGTAGGCTCCACACCCAGTGTGGAACCCAACATGGGGCTTGAACTCACGATCCTGAGATCAAGACCTTAGCTGAAATCAGGAGATGGACACATAACCAACTGAACCACCCAGGGACACTTGGCTAAGATTATCTTTAACATAAATGAGTATTTATGTTATCAAATGCTTTTTCTGTGCCTATCAAGGTAATCATGTAGATTTTCTCCTTTAACCTATTATTGTGATGATTCAGATTAATACTTTTTTTTTCAAGTTGGACCAACTTTGCATTACTGAGATAGAACCAGCTTGGTTCCGCTGCATTCAGCTTGCCAGCATTTTAACTAAAACTTTTGCATCTATGCTTATGAGTGAAACTGCTGTAAATATCTACCTTC